GGGGCTGTTTGTTTTGTTTTGTTTTTGTTCGATTTCTCTTCTTTTTTTTTCTTTCTTTAAGAAAAACTCATAGATCGAACCTTTGTTGTAATCTTTTAAGCAAAGGTAAAAAGATCATTAAAAGATCAAACAGTCAAATAGTTCCACAGTTTTAATGTTTATGATGTAATACCATTACATCCGTTGTTAAATGTTCAACTAATATAAAACAAAGAATCATAGTAGTTTTAGACAACTTCGATAAAAATGCGTCTTATCCTGAAGAACAGAAACATCAAAATAACGACTAAAATAACGGTTCTAAAAAGCAATAATATGTGGGGCAAGTTATATATACCGGATATCACTAAATATCACCGCACATCGCTAAATATCACCCCATGTCACTAAATATCACCACATATCGCTGAATATAACTGCTTGTCACTAAGTATCACCGCATATCACCGCATGTCGCTAAATATCACCGCACATCACTAATAAATATCACCGCATATTACAAATCTCCAATCTCTGACTCTCTCTTTGTCTGTGTTTCTCTCTTTCTCTATGTGTCTGTCTGTATCCTCTCTCTCTCTCTCTCTCTCTCTCTCTCTCTCTCTCTCTCTCTCTCTCTCTCCTCTCCTCTCCTCTCGCCCCCCCCCCTGTCTCTCTCCATCTCAATCTCTCTTACTCTCTATCTATTTATAAAACGGACTTCCATTAAGATTAGAAAAAAATTCTTTTATTCTACATGTAATAGAATTGCTCCTAGTTGAAACAAATTGACATAAACAATTGAAAATGTCAAAAATGTCAAATCTTTTCAAAGACATTGTGCAGGGGGGAAAAGAAATCCCTTTACAAAAAAAATTGAATATCATGAGTAACGATACTAAATTTGAATTGCAAACACAATCCATGTCTTAGAATAAAAAGAAATACTTAAAAGCTCCAAGGAAACCTCAAAACAACAACACATTATATAAACACAACTGAGAAGAAAATCATCGACAAGAGAAAAGACTAGGGCACCTAAAAAAGATATGAGGCTTACTTAACCCTAAATTCAAGTGTAAGTTCAGATGTAACAGTCAGAGAAATGTGTACAACTAGCCGAAATGGTTGGAACCTGGCTTAGTATAAAAGTTTAAAAGCATATCTATAGGCTATTTAACTTCAACAACACCCTTTTTTTTCTTCTTTGAAGCCAACTAAATCGCGAATCGCCACTCTCAGTCTCAGATTTGGAGACCTGGATCCAGCTCTATTCTGGAGTCCCCCACCCCCACCCCCTCCCTGTTTAACTCTCATGGCATATGGTACACACTATAGGAACAAACTAACACCAATGTTGCACTAGGCGAATGTTTGTCTCTATTTAGTGATGTGCGGGTGATATGCGGTGATATGCGGTATTTATACCGTGTGATGTGTGGTCAGCCCTGCTATAGCTGAGAATCCTGGACCATTACCGAAGACAGTGAAAATAAAATAGCGGCAACAGAAATGTATTTTCTAAGGAGCCTTTTGAGAATGTCATGAAGGAAAAGAAATCAAACTAGAAAGTACCGAAAGAAGTCCGTCTGCTGACTATTAAGAACAACTAGGAAGTGACAAATGAAATTTCTAGGACTCTTCAATTGACATAAAGGCTTTGGATCTTATGCTCTCGATGAAAAAAAAATTGAAGACATCAAACAAGGCATGGGTAGACGAAGAGAAATATACAGTGGAAACCTGATATAACAGGGATGGTGGGAGTAGAGATCCCTGTTAAATCAGAAATGCAAGGAAAATAAGCATTTGTGGACTAATCCAGCTGTAGTTATTCATGGGTAGTTTCCTTTGCCACCAGTACCCACGAACAGGGGTTTTGGCACCAACTATCTCCTTGCCCCCTTAAACCACATCAGAAGAGCTTGGTCCACAGCATCTACATCGGGTAGTCTCATCTTTCGATCCAGAGCAAACTTTTCATTGGAGTATGCTGCCACTATCTTCTCTCTATCCTTGATATGGGTGTGAATCGACCTTTGTGGAATGTCGAACTGACGACAAATCTCTGCCAGTGGAGCTTGCTTTTTGTCAACAGACTGGATTATTTCATATTTTTTTAAACAATTGAAAGACATTTTCTCTTGCGCTTAACATCGTTGGTAACACATTACGCGTGCGTGTTGCTAGGTTTCGGGCTAGATCGAGGTCTGCAGCACACTGCAGCCCTCTCTCGCTTCACACGTTGCATGTGCTTGCAGTGGCATGGCTTGCATG